TTTTTTTTTTTTTGCTTGCCATAGTTGAATCCTACCAAGGACATTGTGTCTCCTTTGCTGTCCCGCATTCTGTTCTCTAAATAAATAAGATAGGTGTGTACAATAGTGACCTATAGTATTATCAACTGACCTTTGATCTTAATATATTTTAAAAGCCTTATCTATACTAGAGTGAATATAGTAGTAAACAAAAAAGAAAGCACAATTGGTATGTAATCCTATTTATCAGTGATTGTCAAATCGGATACCTGACAATGATCAGCTGTAGAGTTAAAAAATTCACAAAGGTGTCTTCTTTCTCCCAACTGCCCCTTTCTGTAAAACCTTTCTTACTTGTTGATTACCAGAACCATTTGAATATGGTGGCTTCAGAATTCATATACTTCACTTTTAAAAGGAGTCATGATCAAATATAACCTTTTCACCTAGAATACAATAATGTAGCGGCTTAGCAATTTGAACAAATTGTTTTGACGTTGTTTTGCTAGGAAGAGGGAGTTTAGTAATTTCAGTATATTGTTGGTATTAATAAACAAAAATCACAACAAGGGTGATGGTGATAAGCAAACCCAAAAACTGGGTGAGATGATTTGTGAGAAGTTAGTTTTGTCAAGTTGATATTTGTTCTGGTAGAACCGATTCAATATAAAGTTCAGATGTGATGCTGTGAAAGACTGAAGAGTTAACGGCTCCGCCTTACATTTCTGTTGTTGTTTTTTGATCAATCTGCATAGCTTGCTCTCTCCAGCGATAAGATCTCCATGCTGCAAATGCCACTTCTCAATCTTGATTTGGACGTGAGAGAAAATGGTGAAATTAAACCAATTTCTATAGAGATGAATAAGGAAGAGTTGCAGAACCTTATAAATGCACTGGAAGCCGCTAACAAGGTAGCTTTTACTGGTATCATCCTTTGTTCCTGACTTTCTTGTGTACTGAGCATATTTTAACTGAAGTTCTTCCAGGTATCTTGCTGAAAACCCAAAGTAAATCATTCATTGGTAAAATGCCTATAAAGTTACAGAAAGCCTTACATAAGGCTGATTGTCTTGGATAGACTTCAGGGGTGTTTTATCACAGTTTAGTGTGGAATTCTTAAAAACCGTAATTAGAATCCTGGTAAGCATAATAGTTGGTTCAGAGCACCATTAAAAAGTCATGTGAGACTGGGAGGAGAAGCAAATGAAAGGACAAAGGGTCAGATGAGAGATGACTTTGAAAGGTTGGAGAGAGAACCCCAGTGTTCCCTCAGCTTTGCAAAATGGCAGCAGTTGGGAATGCATATGGGAGAGTTGTTTGGTTCAAATTTAGTCCTGTAATTTCCATGGCACAGTAAGTCAGGAAGAAAGTTAGAAAGATTCCAGTCCAGTAATTCAAGAAGAAAACTTCAAGTGAAACTTTATTTGGAGTGTCTCGGGTTTCTTAATAGAAAAGACTAAGGGAAGTGAGGATTTCAAGAAAAATCGTTAGAGGAAGAAGCATCATCTCACCTGCATCCTGGTGCCAACTGCAGACCCTAGAGACTCTCCCTGTTCAGTTACATTACATGATTCATTCTGCCTCTGTTCTAAAGGAATATGTGGGAGTTCTGTATTTTCTTTTTTTAAATCTGAAAATGTCTTCAGATACTTAAGAAGTCTGTTACCTGGGAGATGGAATTCTCTTGATGTCTTGTAGGACGGATGTGAAAGTATTGTATCAACATGATTTAGAAGTCGTCAGTATCTAGTTGCTTCACGACATTGAGCAAGCAGGGTGTTTCTTTAGATGTTTTATGTAATGTTACAATGCTTTAGCTGGAATCTGGATGCCAACATTTAGAAAAAAAATCTTAGTATGTAACAACTGAAAATAACACTTTTATGGCTCAGAACTTAGTATTTAACTCTGTAATGCCACTGTTAATATTTTGAATTATGAAAGACACTAAGATTATGTCTACGAGTTGCTTTAATGAGGCTGATGTGAGACCTCTGAATAACTACACAGTGCCCAGTAAGATAGAAGCTTTTGTCCAGATACAGGAGGTGGTCTTGTGATACGAGGGTCCTTAACAGCTTGCTTTCCCCTGGATTTTTTCCTCCAAAACTAAAGAAAAACAGTAGCTTGTCATGAACTCTACACTGTGCAAACAAGGGTTCTTCTGAGGCATACTTGAGACTCCACATGCCTTTTGTTCTGCTTGAAGGTCTGTGTGGAAGCTGTGGGATGTTGTCATCTCCTTCCTTAGTTCTAGAGTGAATTACTCCTCGTACACACATAGAAATGGTCCCTTGGTTCTGCTTTGTGCAGCAGGAATCTCACTGGGCCTGGAAATGGCCATTCTGCTTTTTGATTACTGGGAGCTGAGGGATGCTTTGCGTGCAGTAAATGCTAAAGAAAGTTATAGGAAGTGATAGTTGCGTGAGGCTGCAAAAGAATGCCAAGAGAAGGATGGTGTGTTTTTTCTTTTATAGTTTATACAATTGCATATTGTACTGTAACAGAAAGCAGAAAGCTGCATTTCCTAGGCTGCCTAAGTTTTGGTGTCATCCAGCTTTAATTTCATCCCTTCTCTCCTTTTTGAAGGTTGTCTTGCAACTGAAATGATGGAATTCAGATTATTGACAGTATCTCCTGGTGGTGACTCCCCCATTGATGTGGAAAAAAAGAAAGAAGTTCTCTTCAAAACCAAAAGTTGATGCTGTAAAATACTGAAGTGAGAAGGCTGTCATGACTTGTGACCAAATAAACTACTAATCCTTTGATAAAAAAATAATAAAATCTTGTATTATCTGTTTGACCAAAAACATAAAAATCCAATGTAAGTTGCTTTTAGTACTAAAGATTTGTAGAACTATAGAAAAGTATCATTTATGACGTGTGCCATATTTGTTTTGCTTAAACTCTGGCAGTGACTGCACAGGACCCTACTAAAACTAAGGTGTCTTACTTGCATAATGTTACCTTTATCTAAGGTGCTGTGATGATGAAGAACGTGATAGAGTACTTGTAGCATTAATGTATTTATACTTGTAAATAGTAAATAAACACTTTATTTTGTGTGTGAATAATTGCAGTAAATTGTTTCTTAATTTATTAATCACTAAACTCGCTCTTTTGAGATGCTGGGAAAAA